GCGAAGATGTTAAAGCGGGCTCTACCACTGTTAAACATTTCTCCGTTAATTTAATTTCTTTCGAATTAATTCAGCTAGCTTCGAATAACTCTAGCATCCTACTATGATTGCAACAGTCAAGTTTGGATCTACATCTTCACAAATGAGATTCAAAATCGAACCGAGCTGTTTCAACAGTTCAAACTTGTTATAAAATCAACTCAATAATATCTACAAGTAGATTCTGGACGAAGTCATATCAAAATACGTTGGCTGTTGTAAAAACATTTGAAACAAACACAGGAAGTTATATGCAGTCTTACATTTTAATCAAGCGAACGTATACATTATATTACAAAGAGCAGAGATATATAGGGAGGCTGTACACTTTTGTTTTTCATTGTATCAGACTTTTTAATCACTATTTACGGTCAGTTACAATTAAAAAAAACTTGCACAAAAACATTATTTTTATTACCTCTGTTTTTTTGATTGAGAGATAAAATTTTACTCTATTGTAAATGCTAAAGTATGGATGGATGGATGTTTGTTAGAAGGTATCTCCAGAACGGTTCGACAGATCTCGACAAAATTTGGCATGCATGTAGATCATAGTCTGATGAGCACATAGACTACTAATTAAGTTTTTTTTTAATTTCGCGCGAATGGAATCGCAGGCGACAGCTAGTAAATGAATATTTTTTGTTGTGATGATTTAGTGATGAATTACATGGATTTCTAAATTAACTTTTATTTTCATTTTCTTTCAATATGTTATTGTACGAGTCCAACAGGAGTGGAGACCGACGGTTAAGTCAATTTGTATATAAAGTAAATTAAAAAAATAATATATTCATATGTCTGCTTGTTTTCTCATTAGTTCTAGAGAAAGTTGATTTGAAAATAAGTTAAATTTAGAAATACGCGGTAAATTCGCCAGAAGAAATGTTTTCTTAGCGCAAAATAAACTCACACGTTCGTTAAGATAACTCTAAAACGAACAAACTGTTGCAAAAACTTATATTATCTTTTGGAATATCTTATTATTTTAGCAAACGTAACTTACCTCGCTGCGAAGAGTTAATACATTTGTTAAACTTTCAACATCAATGTAAACAACGAAAATAGATTGACTTCTTTATAATAACTAGAATAAATACAATAAAAAAGCTATGTTTAGTCGCAATATCTCAAACCTGAATATTAAACGTCTTATTTAATAACCTAATTTCATTTTCACAAACTCATAAAACATACGACGGCTACATTTTCATCCCTTGATGACATATTAGTTGCATTAACTTAATGTTGTTACAAATACGTGTTTTATAATATTTGTATATTGTTCCAGAAACATGAATTTCTATTGGCTCTTCCTGACGTGCTGGTGCGTTGGTGGTGCACGGCTGCAGTACGTCAGCAGCAGTGGACCCGGCACCGACGCTCTACTTGATAACTTCGACTCATCAATATCATACTCTCAGCTTCCTTTCGCTGCATACTACAATCTGCCAGCTCGGAATGAATTCGATTACATTAACGACGTACCTATCACTGACCCCCATACGCAGTACTACGAAAATGATGACAATCAAATGGCCGATTTAAAAAGAAATCGACGGATGGTTGACTACGATAACACCGGGAGGGAAGGTAACTGGCCACCAAATGTTTCCGCCATTGCTGACATAGACAAAACAGCGTACGGTCCCGAAGAAGATAAAGAGGACAATGGCGTCATGATACAGAACATATCCAATATACCCGATGAAAATGCTCGTGAGTTCAGACTAGTTAATGATTTCGAAAAGAAGAACTTCAGTCCGTGGGGAGGGAAGAGAGACAAGACAAACATCGAGCATATGTGGACATGGAAGCGCGCTGCGAACATTCGAGAGCCGAACATGCCGAAACGCGTGCGCTTCAGCCCCTGGGGCGGGAAACGGAGCGGACAAATGGTCTACAAATCTGGAACTAAAGGAACCAAATTTATCTTTTCGACAACGGTACCCGAACTTACGCGTATAGTGACTAATTATTCTCCGAATAGTAAGAGGTTGGATTTGCGAGGATTCCAGTTCGTTCCTTCGGTGGACAAGCGACATCCCATCAAGATCTTGGCGCTGAGTACTAAGGTTCATGATCGTGCGCTCCGAGAAGCCCTACCTTATAAGAGTTTTATGGAAAGTCTCCCGCGTGTGTTCAAGCCTGGCCATACATACTCAGATGTCACATTAAAAACTGACGGCAAAAGGAAAGTGAAATTCAGCGCTTGGGGAGGGAAACGATCTCCGCCCATCATCGGTCCCATCTGGACTCCGGCACCGCAGAATGTTAAGGAATCAACTCTTGATGCAATTCTCGTAATCCGAAATAATCCAGACCAAACGCATTTGTTAACTAACCCACAACAAATTTAAACACGGACATGAGTGACTAGTATCATTTTTTTTAAAGTAACCGTGACTATGGCTTCAAATAGGCGTTTAAAATTAAGTGCCATAATGCGTACTGGTTGGTAAATATACAATTAAAAATATGAATCCTCCGTGAAGAGGCTGGCTTTACGGAGGACGAGCTTGGCTTCTTTACTATTAAAAATTACAACAGATTAATAAAATAATAACAAATTAATCAATTAATTGTTATCGGTTACTTAGTTAGTTATGTAAATTAATGTTGAAGTTGTATTGTTTTTAAATAACGAAAATGTGGTGAGCAAAGATTAAACAAATAAAAATAATGCCGAACATTCATTTCCTACCTAAATCCCACCTATAATGAGATTTTTAGTTTTGTTTTAATAATTGCAAGAATTATTAATAAGTAATCAATAATCTGCTATTATTAAAAAAATACTGTACACTTATTACTATTATACCGGATAAAAAAAATATTTTGGAATTTATCCAGTTTAGTACAAAATCTAGACTTTCCCCTTTATTTACTAAATTAGGAAGTTAAGGTCCTGATTTGACACATGTTATAAGAATAAAAAAATGGGTTAGTGTATTTATTCACCCTGTAAAAAATAACCCTAGGGATAAGTGTTCAAATATTCCGCCCATGAAAAATAAAACATTCTGTATAATGTCAACTGTCATTGGTACAATAAGACGTAAAAGTGGTATTACTTTAAAAAAAAGTTTTTATTAAAGGAAATTTTTTAAACATATAAACAGTAATATAATAAGTAATTCTTTAAAATTACAAACTTAAGTATGACAACTAACTGATGTTGAGTTGAACTAATTGAGTTAATATTCTTAATTGTTGTCGGCGCGATTGTACAAAAAGGATGATATAAACGGATTTTAGAATTTTCATAACGGGAATAATATCTGTGATACTTAGGGTTTATATTTCAGGGCAAAAATATACTGAACCATACTAATCATGTTGATAGAAATGAAACCTAGTTTATCATCAGGTATACGTTTATCACTATACGTCCCCACAGAGGGGCTCAGACTCTACCTTAAGTCGCGGGTGACCAGGCCATAGTCAACCACGCTGGCCCAGTGCGGATTGGTTGACTACACACACATTGAATTTCTTCTGATATGTGCAGGTTGCATCACGATGTTTTCCTTCACCGTAAGAACATCGAATAAATGTACATATGTAAATCAGAAATCGAAAAACACATTGGTACATGGTGGGATTCGAACCCAGGGCCTGCAGATTGCAAGTTAAGTGCTTGACCCCTGAGCCACCGACGCTCGAAACCTAATTCCTACTGGAAAGTTAACAAACCAAATCCCTTCTTTTTTTTTTTGTAGGGAAAAAGGTAATTAAAACTCAATATACAGACATATATTTATTTAAACGAAGTTGAAAACTTCAAAGTAGGACTAATTATTAACAAAATGAAAATTAATCAAATGTTTAATACATTTTTAAATCAAATTACAGTAATTATAGTCATCTTGAATATTTATTTTTTTGCATGTTATTTTTTTTTAAACTATTTTATACACGATATTTTTATAAACGATACTGTTTGGCTTTTTAGTAACTAATTAAATTCAATTATTTTATTAAACATGCATTAGCTGATAAAAATAAATTTTATACCAAAGGAGTAATACGGCTAAATATTACCAACAAAATTCTAACATTTCATTGTGAACATACAGACATACAATATTTGAGATGTAGTTAGTTACAATTTCACGTCCAACACTACTTATCTATGCATGTTATACTGAGTTTGGATGTATGTATGGATGGATATAAGTTTATTAGAAAGTATCTCCAAAATGGATGTAGGAATCTAGATGAAATTTGGTACAAATACACTGTCTGGAAGGACACATAGGGTATTTATTAAGTTTTAATTGCGCGTGGACCACATCCAACAGCTTGAAGAAAATATGTGTTTTTAGAGGGTAAAATATTCAAATAGTCTATTCCAGTACAGTGTCACTTCTAATCTTTAATTACAAGGAACTAGTGAATTTGTTATAAGCACTAAAAGACATTAAGGATTTCTATAGCTGAATCAATTTAGTTTATAATGTTCGTAAACTATTTAAATCTTAGATCTTGCGTAAAAACTGTAGTGAAATTCCAATAAAGTTGACAAATTATGGAATTAATAACTTGGATTTACATAGTTCTTAAAATAATATGAAAACCGGAATCCGTCTCTACCGGCTTACTTAACTGGCCAACTTTAAGTTTGAAAGCCTCCTCTTCGAATGGTGCTTGCATTTGTCCACGCTTGAACATACCAAGATCTCCACCCCGTTTAGCAGAAGAACAGTCAGAAAATTTAGTTGCAAGATCAACAAATGTAGCTTCATTACCAACAATCTGCTTACGATAGGTCTTTAATTGTTCTAAAGCTTCTTCTTTAGTTCGTGTGATGGATTCCTCACGCCACGACGATGGACGACGACTTTCAGCATGTTTGACCAGTATGTGCCTGCACCGGATCTCTCCAGCGTCAGCTGGTGCCTCAGGTCTCTCCCACTGAGACTTCTTAGTGTAGATGTTGAGGAAGTAAGTCATACCAGTTGACCGACTTGTTCTCATCTCCCATCCCTCAGGTAAAGGTGATTCCTCTTGGTTCGACATTCTGGAATTTTCGTTGAAGATATTGCACAAGTTTTAAGCACTTAAATTGTTTAAGATTTATGTTTTGTTCCACAAAATAACACGGCAATTTTATTTTGTTGCTTTGAAGTTGTTATGGGGAGGAAACGAATTTAAAAAATTGTAATGTATCTTTGCTCACCACTAATCTATTTAGAAGAAGAGTACGGTAAAAGTTGATTCTTTATTGAAATTATAAAATATAAAAACGGGGTTGAAAAACTTAACCTAATTTTATTTAGAAAGTATACAAATCTTACCTTATGGTTTAGCAAGGTTGTTCGATAAGCCACAACCTACGTAATTAAAAACTGTTACTATCTTTAGATCGTCGTTTTATTTAAAACTTCAATGAACAATTACAATACAAATTACAATTTACGGCAGGAAAACGACAAGCAATCAGAAACCATAGATTCTAGAAGTACAAACAACTTGGGAATTTGTCAGATTCTTGACCATAGACAATTCTATATTAAAAATTTATATTTCACAGTGATATCATTCACATTTTTCCACATGAAGATGAGTAAAAAACAAATATAAAATAAAATCGTTGTCCCATTTGTCAATCAAGTATGCAAAAGTATTTGCGAGTTTGTGTGTCAATTTTTACTTCATTGACCATCACATTTTATTTACACCGCCATCTTTTCCTTCACAATTGAAACTTAAAGTGCTCGACTTTTTTCAATTTAATGTGGTCTTGTAGTATAGATGGCGCTATTCTACTTGTATTTATGTAATTAGATTTTATGATCGAAGTACAGGGTAATGAAATCTGATAAAGTAGATTTTCGTAAACAAGCAATGGGAACAACAGAGTGATCACCGTCTATCTGCAAAACCAGAAGATCTATAGATTTAAGAAGACATTAATACTTTACCATTGTTTAAACATTGATTACCAAAAAAAGGATAACTACTCCAAGAATCACTCTTAGTAACAATTGATGTCTCTGAGTATGGAAATGGGAGAGACATAACAATTCACAACATCCACATGTCAGGAATATGTCATAGGTTGCATTACATATGCAAGTTCTACATGAGATGTGTAATAATTAAATATTCTCTGTGTAGTACCAAATTGTCTCTGGTAGGCATCGGGTGTCCGTGCAATCGGCGCAACGTTGATTATAACGTGCTTAGAAACATAGACTAGATAAACAAAATTATATATTTTTATGAACCTAGTCGTAAGCAATTTCAAACTAATTCCACTCAAAGTACAAAAAATCTAAATATTAAAAATTATCTTGTAGCAAATTTATAAATAAAATGATTAAAATATTGCACAGATTCTTAAATAATTACTTTATTTTAGAGCTTTAATTTTTGAATGATTCACAAAATAAATCGAATGCGGAGTTCTTAAACCAACATGGTATTGTGTACATAAGTTCATACCAACTTAATAAAAAAAAATTCTGTATGACGAAAAGAAGCCGGAACATCGCTAATATGAAATAAAATAATCTTTATAAACTTTAAACCAATTAAGATTAACTACTTAGGGGATTGAGAAGTTTTTAATTAAATGTTTCACATTATGAAACTTTAACTTCATTGCGAAATACTAACGGACGGGGAAGCCCCTTCTATATGTTACCGTTACCTTGTTTATTTCGGTAGTTTACAATCTTACTAATCATAATGATTTGAAGCTATTTACAATTTGACGTATTATGATAACCCTAGTCGCTCGCGACTTCGTCCGCGCAGAATTAAAAAAAAACTTTAATTACTAGCCAATGTGTTCTTACAGGCTATGTTCTATGAATTTCAGCGAGATCCATGGAGCCGTTCTGGAGATACCTTAAACAAACATTGATCCATCCATCCTTCCAAACATTTGCATTTGTAATAATAGTAAAATAATAATAACACACCTATTTATTATTTTTTAACTTAACTATAAAGTTACAAAACCGAACTTAAGAATATATTCCTTTATCTACGAACTTTTATGTAAGTTAAACTTGCGAAAAATTCATAAACAGTTATCAATTTACTCATTTGACGTCTACAGTTTATAAACTAAAAATAAATGATACGTTAAATTGTCAACCATTAGTTTCCAAATCGACGTCAGTTTAATTGCTAGTAAAATTATAAATTAACCAAATTCGTAATCTTACGGTGTCATAAATCAGATTATTTCTCTAATCACGTAAATTTAATTTTCTCAAGGATTATGATCGACAATTATATGTATTAATTGGTTATATTCTCTATACAAAAATAACTTTTAACTTTTTAATTAAATCGTTTAAAAACTTACGACTTACAATATTTTTACTGCAAGGGAAAAAATTCAAAAGATATGTATGAAGTCAACCCACCCTGAGACAGCGTGTTTGACGATGGCCTAGTGATCCCTAACTTAGGGAAGGCTTTGAGCCTTCTAATTGGGGATGATGATAGGTATTTAAACCTCTATTATTTATGTTAAGACTTATTGTCTATGATACAGCCAAAAAGTCGTAAAAATACGTATTTCTGTTAATTTATTTGTTCTAGAACACATTCCTCCAAAATTATCAAAACCATTGCTCGTCTATCAAAAAGCAGTGTAACATTTCGGCGAATATACAAAGCTTTTGAATGGATTACTGGTAATTATGTTTAGTCATAGATTCCGGTGAGCTTTGTGATTATCAGCTGGTTATCGTTTGATGTTTTTATCTGTCAATGAAAAGGCGATACAGACAATTACAACTAATTTCAAGCTATTAAATATAATCCGGCAACAAATATAGTGATAATACTATACCTCTGTCAGTCTGTGTGTTTTATTTATGGAATACTAGATGTCGCAAGCGATTTCGTCCGCGCCGAACTAAAAAAAGTTAGTTGTCTGCGTTATTACAGGCTATGTTGTTCATCTATGCCTAATTTCAGCGAGATCCATGCAGCCGTTCTGGAGATAACTTCTAACAAACATCCATCCATCTAAACATTCGCATTTATAATATTAGTAAGAAGTAAGATTACTTTAAATTACAATATTTTTTTTAATCTTAAATAGCTATTATTGTCTATTATTCTAAAAATGCTTACAAATGTACGATTCCACCTTTTCGCAGCTAAATTTTTAACCCATAATGTAGAAGAAATAACCGAAACTGTGTATAAATGTAGAAAAATTAAGTTTGAGGGACTTTTTTAACTATCCTGAACAAGGACAAGATGTTTTTGTTTCTTTTGATAATGCAAGTTCCTAAATTCCTGTATTGATGAAAAATAAAGCGATCAAGCAAATCCGAATGAATTTCTTAAGCGTATGATAATGAAAGTGATTTAACATGGACATGAAAAAACCTTTAAACCTTTAATGTTTTGCCTTTAACTCGATTGGTGGAGATTAATTCGCGGAGGCGTCTGACGTCCGCCATTGGTTGACAGAGGACGTAAGTACGCGCGCTTTCCCGCGCATTCCCGCAGTTGACAGTTAGTTTCCCGCGTGCCAGACAACACACGCGCTATTCCTGCGTTCTGAAGTTGCGATCAAAGTTATGAAGATTGTCTGATTTTCATTTTTCCAACGAATTTAACTAAGGTAAGTGAATAAATAAATATTTATAAATATGATATACGTTATGAAATTATTAAAAACGGGAAAACGTTTGACGGAATTTGAATTAATTAAACTATTGCCAGAAAATTAGGCATAATCTAGTATTTTTTCTGATACTATAACCAGGTATGTTTTTATTTTTAAAGAAACCTTGTTTCGAAAATTACTTAATTTCAACTTTCTAAACGCAACATGCAAAATAAATTTTCTTTTTATTAGCACTAATTTGACTTTGTAATTAAATTAGGAACTGTTTACTCTTAAATTTTTAGTTTAAAGGAGGCAGAAAAATTATTGGTATTTATTTCATAACATCCGGTACCTATGGTATTACTGATGTCCATGGGCGTCGTTGAACACCTCGATGTTCTCGCTGCCCGTTTGCCCCCTTCTGTTTAAAAAAAAACATATGAGAAAGTCCCATATCACTTTTGTCATCAAATATTTTTCTCAATTTTATACAACATAATTTTATATCTAACATTTAAAATAAATGAAAACGCTGCATTCGCAAGCAGGAAACTAGGGTTGAGATTTATTAGCGTTACGGCGTTACCAACAATGTTATATATTGCCAGGCGTGCCTTCTGTGACATATGAAGTGTATACAACACTATAAAGTTTTTTTTTTAATTACTTACCATGCATCATACCATAAACTTCATGACATACAGCCAACCCAATATAAGCGAGAAACTTCTATAAGCGATAGTCTTTGTGCGGTCCGACGGACATCCTCTGTAAGCGAGAAACTCTGGTTAGAGAAAAATCTCTATCTGTGAGGAAATTATCGCGGTGCTTTGCACTCTCTTTTAACCATAAATTTTCATTACTTTGTCTGTTAGGAGTTATCGCTATATTTTAAAAATATTTTCGATAAGTTCCTTATTTCAGTGTTATTTCTTGAAATAATTTGTCTATGTTTTCTGTAACTTTTAAATACCATAAATAAATGTTCATTAAAATTTAACATATACCTTTTTCGTGTTCTATTTCTTGAAAAACAAGATTAAAAATTTCTACACTAAAATTTTATTCGTATAGTTTACGTAATAGACAGTTTGTTTTATCATTAAAATCTTTCCCAACTTGGAGTCATCTTTTGTCCTCTAGGCTATTCCCCTTATCAGGGGAATTTTGTCCTCTTTCCCGATGATAAGAACTTGGGGACTTTACGCGATAATTCCAGCAATTAAGTTTTACCTTACAAATTAATATTACGAATGCGAACGTTTATTTTAGTTGTAGTAAAAAAAGATGGGAAGGGGAAGTAGATCTGACGTAGAACGCACAGAAAGGGGACATCCTCTTTTGTGTGTCCCTTCCTCTGTCTATTAAAGGCAGGCAACGCGACTGAATTTGCTGATGTCTATGAGCAGCGGTTGCTTCGCTTTTTTTGGCCAATTTAAGCCGCTCGCTCGTTTCCCACCATATGATATAAAGACGCTAAGGCCGTGGACTAAAGCTAAGTACAGTGCAACCTCAATATAACGTACCTCGATATAACGACTTCCTCGATTTAACAAATTTTTCGTAATCCCCTTGAATTGTCCATAAGAGTCAATATAAAATATACCTCTACATTGCGAACATTTTTTGCGAACAACCTCTTTATAACGAATTTTAACCATCGAGAAAAAGTATAAATACCTCTATTTAACGAATTTTGTCAACCCAAAACCTCTATATAAAGTTGCAGTGTCACTAATGTATGACTTTTAATCTCATAATATGTGATTCATGTTGCGACATGTTTCGACACGCTTTTGTTTGTAAATCAATCTTCGACACGCTTTTGTTCGTAATTCAATCATTGTTGTTTGATGGAAAGTAATGTTAACACTTATTCTCGTCACAATTGTCAAAGATTTAAGTTAAAATGGCTTAGAAACCTACAAAAAAATTTTGTTACTTGCCTAATTGTTTTTAAATAGAAAACACATACAGTAATTTGATAAAAAAGAGTTATCATTTATTAGTAGAAGTTGTTCGCTATAACAAGATGCGTACGTAATGTTGAGGTGAATAAAACTATTTTTTTACCTCTTTATAACGAATTTTAGACCATCCTAACCTTAACATAACGAACCTCAGTTTAACGAATTACTCGATATAACGAATATTTACTTGTTTCCCTCCGATTCGTTATATTGAGGTTGCACTGTAATATAATTGCCTCCTGATATATTTAGATTTATTACACACGTGGAGTTTGTAATTCTAACAACAGTTAAGAAACTTTATAACAACAAGTCGGCTTGTTTTAGTTATGCTAATGGCTATTAATTAATAATCATAGCAAAAGGATTATCTTCAAACAGGTATAAACTTTAACATATCAAGTCACTTTACTTAAGTTAAGTAGGTCGTTAATGTAAAAAAAATAAAGTTGCATATCTGTTAGTTAATTTCCATGTACAAATATATGTTAGCTTATAATATTTAAGCGTTTGAACAAGTGAACTTAAATTTTAATAAATTCTAGGTTATGCCAGAAAGTTTTATTCTTTTACCTAACCATAGATAATTGTAGATACAAAAGAAGAAAAAATCCTTAACATGCATTTAACTAATTATTTTAACTTATATCAGTGTTAAGTAATACGAAGAAAAAAAAAACAAAAAAAATTGTATATACTTAGTAGCAATTAAGAATATAATGCCTTTAACAAAATTATGTAAAAAAAACAACTAATCGTCTATGATAAAAGATGGAGTAGGAACTTTTAGAACAAAGAGTGAAGTTACATTGAAGCAAAGAGAACATGCGGACGAGCTATTGTTCATGCCCTACTTATAAATCCGTGTAAACTTTATTAAAAACTTTTGTCGCTAATCCGCAGTATCTAGGCCTAAGAATAGTTTTCCGTCTAAAAAACAAGTTTTATTAAGTATGAAACAAACAAAATCTCGATTTAATTATAATAAAAAATTTATAAAAAAAATTCAAACTTACTTGAAAATTTTAAAACGTAAATATCAATTTTCTAATAACTCTGCTTAAATTATTATACAATTTCGAAAGAAAGAAAGATAAAAAGAAAGAAATAAAAAGAAAAAAGATATGATTTCTTGCGATCTCGTTTATTGGTTTCTTGTGAGTATTATATTACATATGTATATGTAATTTTGCATATATTACTCATGTTACAGACGAACGTACCAAAGGTTTTAATAACATCCCGCAGCGTATGGATCACGGGTTGAAATAAATAGGCAAATAATACCGTAATAAAAGACAACCAGCGCCATCTGTCGCCTTGATTAAACCACTCACGACTCTTGGGAACGTTTGTATCATTGTAATACGTTTGCTGATGACCCACCGTTCTATATTAATTCTACTCAGATTGGTGACGGATGTATTTTATTAAACTTATATTGGTTACCTGGGTACCTTGTACAGGAGGCATGTAATCTTCAAGTCCAGGTCAATTAAACGTATGAATGGACTGTTTTAATTCTAATAAAGACAAGCAAAATTACAATAACAAGATTAATTGGCGTTGGTTTAAAAATGGCGTCCGATTAAAAATGGCGTCCGATTGCCGCGCTCATGTGATGAGCAAGTGACATTTGCCGCCGCTCAGTGCTGCCAACTGTATTTTGATTTTTGTTTTTTAATATACCATAAAAAGATATAAACTGTGAATTGCCTTTGCTTTTTTGTGTGTGATTATGATAATTATTAAAAAAAAAAACAATTCATAAATCTGCAATGCATCTGTTTTATCCTTAAGGATTCCCCTCTTCGTCTATTGTTATGAACGTGTGTTAAATCGTAAAATGAAATATTTTTAACCGTTAGTTTCTGAGACCAAAGTCTTCGTTTAAAACATATTGTTATCTCTGTTTTGTCAAAGATAATGACAGGGATGATGATAAGTTTTAAACAGAGATTTTAGTCTCAGAAATCAACGGTAAATCTGTCTAAAAACACGTGAAAAGACAAGTCTGTGACGTTCCTTAAATAATTCTATTTGAGAGAAAATTACTGTAACGTTAACTTTTATTTATACATGCATCAACAAAGTTTTGTCAACGAAAAGTTTAAGGATGTCTTGCCGGATCAATTCGATTTGAAAGTTTATAAAAGTAATTAACTTTTTCCTTTTAGTAGAACGATCTTTATATTCCTTTTCGTGGGAGACAATCTTTTTAATATGTTTCGTCAGAGGAAAGATACCAAATGACTCTGGTCGAATCTTCTGACGTCTTTCTCAACACAACGACAACCCTGATTTCTATAAATGGATAGGAGATTGCTTGATAATGATAGCGTTTGCTTAGTTTCGATTTAAATGTTCCTGTTGATGTTACGCAACAGTTAATTCTATCTATATTATAAGTTGGTGAAAATCAAATAGACACAAAATATTATGTGTTATAGCCAGTCATATAGAGATCACACATGATTCATAGACAGACAGTACCAATTGTTTTCTTGATATTATTTGTTACTTCATGTGTTCGCACTGACGAAACATTCACACGATCGCAACATTTTGTGTGAATGATTCAAATAACCAATTATATAAAGTGTTTAAAGCGAGCGGCCACCTGAAATCGCTGAAATAGCAAAGTGACCGTTGCCCATAGACATACGCAATTGCATATGCGTTGCCTACCTTTAATCGATGGAGGAGAGGATGCACAGAAAGTAAAAATTTTCCCTTTCCATGCATCCTCTCGTCCGGAAAGTCCCTTTCCACTTCCCATCCTTTCCCGATAAGAAAAAAAAGGGGGAAGGGAAGGAGGACTACATTAGGGCTCCGGGAGGCATACTCATCAGACAAAACGCAGAATTGCTTCCACTTGACGCCTGTCTGCTGTGTGGTCGTGGTATTTCTCTTTGGTTAAAGCGGGCTCTACCACTGTTAAATGTGTTTTATACGAGTACCTTTTAATTGTAAAAAAACACATTTTTAGTTTGAACTTTAGAAATACTATTTTTGTAAAAGAGCGAGTTGAACGTTTAAACG